TCATTTTTCGTTAAAAAATTGACAACACTCTGAACTGGACGTTAACCTGCTGATTGAGATATGATAAAATATGATCTCATAATCTCAAATGACTATCAATCTCAGTCTGCATGTTAACATTCAGCTCAGACAACTGTTAATTTTTTATCGGAAAATGACAAATTTGAAACATAATGAATAGTCAGTGACCATTTTGTAACTTTTAATAGTCGATGTACTCAATAAAATAACTCTATATATTCGAGATACCATTTTATAATAGTTAGAGGACTTAGTAAAATAATATCCTATAATCGAGGACTATTTGTGTACTTTACCCTATTTTAAATCAAAAGTATGAAATAATTATTTTCGTATTTTAAGTATTTATTTTTATTCAGTGAATTAAAAAAATATGTTTTATAAGTTTATTTTTTCCTATTAAAATTTTCAATTATTAGTTTTTATTAAATTTTTTAAAATTTAACTTATTATTATTTAAAATTTATTTTTAATAACAAATAAAAACATTTAAAAACCCTCAATCAAATTATTTTTAAATATATATTTTATAAAATTTAATTATTTAAAATATTTAAATAATCATGGAATATTTATCGTCATTTTAGTATCTACTCTTGTAGCACACCTCTCTCTGCTCGTCATTTTGTCCTTCTTGACTTTCTAAGTTTTTTTTATGGCTGACGTTAATGATGAGATGGCTCACTTGGGTCTTGACGCGGGGGAGGATGTGAGATCCTCCAGGTGGACAATGGTGCGGTTCTCTCTAACTTTGACACCCAATATTACTTCTCCCATCAGGTACCCAACCTTACGTTCGTTTTGCTTACGAGAGGCTCACCCTTTTTTGCTTTATTTGTGGTGTCTTAGGGCATGGGAAAAGTTATTGTCCTCTTACCCACCTAGATCGAAGAGATAGTGTTAGCTTGGGAATAGCACCCTCTCTGCTCCATTACGACGGGCAATTGCACCATCCAGTCCATGGTTGCGTGATTCCCCGGAGATTACAAAGGTTATTGCAGGAAATCCCACTGAAGGGCTGAGTGGGGTAGTTACTCACCCACGTTCTGCTCCCATTCGAGCATCTATGCCCACTCCTTCTTCTAATTTGGATGGGCCACAGTCTGACTTACTCAGTGGGCCTGACACAATATGGCTATTGTTGAAGAGGATAGTCCTATTGCAAATGTGTAAGTTCATAAGCGTCCACGATTCCAACCATCAACGCCTGGTATTTCTGCTTTCCCCAAATTTGAATGGCGTTCCAATCAATTCATCGACAAACCTTGTTGAACATGCCAACCGTCAACCATGAAAATCCTCAGTTGGAATGTCCGTCCCCAAATTTTGTTTCTTATGGAAACAAAACTTCCTAGTAATAAAATGATGAATGTTCGTAGAAAGTGTGGTTTCTCTCAAGGTTTCGACGTTAGTGCTGTGAGTTCTAGGGGTGGCCTCTCTTTGGCGTGGTCTCATGATATCATTGTTTCTTTATAGAGTTTCTCACTGCATCACATTGATGTTTAAATTACCGAGTCGGATTCTAATGTTTCTTGGCGTTTGACTGGATTCTATGGTCACTCAGTTGATAGTTTGTGTGCTCAGTCATGAAGATTGATGAGGTCGTTGGGTGTTGATCAGGCTTTACCATGGTTAGCAGTTGGTGATTTTAACGAGCTACTGCTTGCGTCAGAAAAAAATGGGTGAGCGTGTTAAATCTGAACGGCCAATGAAGGCTTTCCGTTTTGCTCTGTTGGATTGTGATCTTTCTGATTTGGGTTTTAATGGCCGATGGCATACTTGGGAAAGAGGTCGATTGTCTACAAATAGTGTTCTCCAGCGTTTAGACTGGGGTGTGGCTAACCCAGCCTGGTGGGATCTTTTTTCGAATTATTTAGTTTAACACTTGACCCACACCATTTCAGATCACCGCCCTGTTCTGGTGTGTCGACCACTGCTGGTTCTTCTAATAGGTCGACCTTTTCTTCTTTCCGCTTTGATGCTAATTGGGTTCTTGAACCTAAGTGCAAGGATTTGATATGTTCCTTTTGGGAATATAATTACGAGGCTTTACCAGATAAGTTAAAATTGTTGGGTGAAACTCTTTCTAAATGGAGGTCATCTAGTAAGGCTTGTCGTACTGCTACAATGTGAGGCCTCAAAGAGAAGCCTTACCAAGCTTTCAGAATCTAATCTAGAAGATGAAACCCTTATGAATTATTATACGTGAAATTAGCTCTCAATTTGGAGGCAGATAAAGATAAGTTATATTGGGAGCAGCGTGCTCGTGTTAATTGGCTCCACCATGGTGACAAGAGTACGATTTTTTTCCATAAATGGACCACGTATTGTAAGAAGGAAAACAAGGTGCTTAAATTGGCTTTTTTATGAGGATTTAATGGCGGCTAATGCTACTGGTTATTTCTAGCAACTTTTCACTACCTCAGGTTCGACTAATGTAGACCGACTTCTATTTTATATTCCTTTGTCAATAACAGATAATATGAACATGGATCTCTTATACCCTTTTACAGCTGAGGATATTGCCCAAGCTGTCAGTTGTATGTCTCAGCTTAAGGCATCAGGGGAGGATGGTTTCTCGCGTTATTTTACCAAAAATATTGGAATATTATTGGTGAGGGGGTTTCAAAGTTTTGTCTTTCGGTTTTGAATGACTAGACTGATCTGAATGACATTAATCGAGCCAATATTATTCTCCTTCCTAAGGTTGCTTGCAACATCCTCAATACCGGGTTAGTAACCAAATTGAAAGATTCTAAAATTCAGTGATTAAAGTAGATAAATTGAAAAGTTTAAGGACTTGATTGAAATATTTTGTGTAGGATAATTTAGCAAAGAATAAGGAATTAAAAGGGCAAATGGGTCTTTTAGCAAGGGCAATAATTAAATATTATTTGAGGATATTTTATCCCCACGTGGCGCATAGGTGTGTGGAAAAACAAAGTTTCCAGACTTCCCTTTTTCATTCTCTTCTTCTCCACCGTGAAGCCTTAAGCAAAGGTGAGTTGGTCTTTTCTTGGTTAATTCTTAAGAGTTAAGCATGGTTTTGATTAATGAAGTTTTAGGAAAGATGATGGAAGGAAAAAGGGATTTGGAAACTTAAAGAATAGCAAGTTATGGAGGATTTAAGATACTAAGCATTTAAGTGAAAATTTGAATAAGATGATTTAAATGAATTTGAAGGTTGAATTCGACTTGACATCTATGAGAATAAAAAGTTATAAAAGTTAGAATTAAGTTTGGATAACATGGAAAATGTGGTAAGATTCTTAGTTGTAAGAATTTGGATGAACTATGAGAGATTATAAGGTGTTGAAATGATAGAAATTAGTTAAAGTGGTTATAGATGAGTTTGATAGCATAATAAGGGTTTTATACATGAAATTTTGGGTGAAGTATTGATGAATTTCGGGTGAAAACAACCTATTCTGGGCAGGTGTATCGCTACACTATGAATAGGTATCGATACACTAAGACCAAATTTTGAAGAACGGTTACATATTGTATCGATACATTCAGGGATGTATCGATACCCGTGTATCGATACACACTGGCAGGTATCGATACCTGAAAATTTTGAACCTAATTTGTGTACCGTTACCCCTATAGTGTATCAATACCCTATAGTGTATCGATACCCCCTAGAGGAAAAAGTGAATGTTGGTTCATTAAATTCGTTTAAGCTACTAGTATCAAATTACAAGGTGTAGATATCTGATAATTATTTTAAAATTTATATTTATAAAGATATTGAGCCTAAAGCGGTTCCGAAACATTTGGGAAGTAAGAACGATCGACGGAAAGGCAAAGAGATCTAGGTAAGTGCATATGCATAACATGATTATAGTAGTATATCCAGTTTCAGACTTGTGATAAGTCTAGATTCAATACCTTGATGCATGATTCATTTCATATTGTGAAACATGATATGAATTCATACTATGTGCATTGTGTAATATGTTTTAAATGAATTTGTATGAAAAAAATTATATGAACCATGTGATAAAGGTAAGAGAATGATATGTTTATGAGATACATAATATGAATTGTGAAAGCCCATGTTATGTGAATGATAACTATAAGTATAGTTGGCATGCCAAGAGTAGAGGGTCTATGAGGTTCTTCGGGACATATATGTATTCTTTGGAGCATGTATGAGGTTCGTTGAGACATGTACTTGATCCTTGGCATATGTATATGATTCTTAAGGAATTTCTATGTGGTCTTTAGGGACATCTTATATGGCACTACGGTGTATTTCTACGCGGTACTTCGGTGAAATTCTATGTGGCACTTCAATGCATTTATACGAGTTGTGGTGATAATATAATGCACAACCTCACTGTACTCACATACCTTATGTTCTCAGTATGGTATCATGGGCTAGTGAACTTATTAATATGAATTCATGAATGTTGATTTGACAAGCTTATGAGTAAGAAACATGGTTATGTAAATTGCATTGATTAAATATGTGATTTCATTACATTTCATATCATTATGGCATTTTCATTATATTTCTTTATTATTATTATTATTATTATTATTATTATTATTATTATTATTATTATTATTATGCCTCACTAAGTCAATGACTTAGCATGTGAGTTTTTTACACGTAGGATCCGAGAAAATAGACAAGCAAGGTTAAGCGGCATAGACAATATTACTTATACAACTATCAGATCAGAAGCAACTTAATAGTATGTCATTTTGTTCTGTAAATTCATGTTGGCATGTAATCAAATGTTAAGTTGTGTATGCTCTGAGCATTTTGGAAACTCTGTACAAACCTATGTATATTATCATATTTTATTAATATAAGTACAAATGTTTTGTTATTTTGTTAAGAATAATGTTTTAAAAGTTAATGTGACATCTCAGACTTGTATCCGGGTCAGATACTGGTTGGGGTTGTTACACTCTTTCCTCCATGAGGCAATTTAGGCCTATAAGGCTATGCAATATCCTGTATGAAATTATTGCCAAGGCGATTGTCAATAGGCTTTGTGGTTTCCTGGATTTTTGTATTAATGAGTCAAGGGTGCTTTTGTTCTAGTAAGACATATTACAGATAATGTTTTGATTGCTTATTAAATTTTGCATTCATTGAAGCTAAAAACTTCTAGCCGCCGTGGTTCTTTTGCTTTGAAAATTGATATGAGTAAGGCTTATGATTGGGTGGAATGGTCCTATTTACGGGATGTAATGCTCGTGATGAGGTTTTCTCCCCCGATGGGTCACACTGGTGATGAGTTGTGTTTCCACGGTCTCAAATTTGATTGTTTTCAATGGGGTTCTTGGAGTGTCCTTCTCTCCCACCCGTGGTTTACGCCAAGGTGACCCGTTAAGTGTATATCTTTTTGTGACGTACACGCAGGGTCTTTCCTCTTTACTTAATTCGGTTAAGGCTACCGATGCAATCTCTGGATGTAAGGTTGGTAGGTATGGTTTCCCTTACACATTTATTTTTCGCACATAACTGTATTTATTTGGTGATGCCACTGCTTGTGATGCTGTTACGTTACGAGATTTGTTAATGGAATATGAAGTTGCGTCTGGCTAACGTGTAAATTATGATAAGTCCTTGATTTATTTTGGGAGAAATGTGACTGCTAATGATTACTCTTTGGTGGGTTTTTTTTGGTGTTCGAATCTCCAGGAGTCTGGAGAAATACATTGGACTCCCGACTATGGTGGGTTGTCATATAAAAGAGACTTTTGTTGGGTTGCAGGACAAAGTGAACCATCGGGTTAATGGTTGAAGTAGTAGGTACTTGTGTATGGGTGGTAAAGAGATGTTTCTAAAGTCAGTGTTGCAAGCCGCTCCTATTTATGCAATGCAATGTTTTTTTATTTCCACTAGGTATCTGTCGTGAGTTGGAGTCTATTTTTAACAAATTCTGGTGGCGCAATAATAGCTCTAGCAAAGGAATTCATTGGGTTGAATGGCTAGACTTGTGCTCTCCTACGTCGGTGGGAGGTATGGGCTTTAAAGACGTGGCTAAGTTTAACATTGTCATTTTGGCCAAGCAAGGTTGGTGTATTCTTTCTAAACCTGACTACCTTTTGGCTCAGGTACTAAAGGGGTGTTATTTCCCTACATCAACGTTTATAGAAGATGGTTTGGGTTATTACCCATTCTATACCTGGATATGCATTTAGTCCACCCGTGGTCTCTTAGAGCAGGGGTGAGTTGGAAAGTTGGTTTAGGCTCATCAATTAATATCTGGCGCGATAGTTGGGTTCCTGAAACAACAACGGGCAAGGATCAAGTAAACAATATTAACATCAATTATACTATTGTGTCTTATTTAATTGATGGTCATTCCAATACCTAGAGGAAAGATGATATTCTTTCACTTTTTCCACCTGATCAGGCAGAGAAAATTTTAAACATCCCTTTGCCAACTTCTCAGCAACCATATATTGTCTATTGGCGGTTTGATAAAGCAGAGGTGTATATTGTTAAGAGCGGGTATCTTCATCTTATCTGGACTATCATTGATTCAAATAATGATCATAAGGTGTTTGACACAATTTGGTTACTTCCTATACCATCTAAAGTGAAGATCACCTGTTGTCGGTTCTGTAAAAATTACCTCCCTATTGCTGCTAACCTGTCATCACGGTGTCTCAAAATTGAATACATCATGCAAATTATGTGATACTGGGTATAAAACTGTCTCTCACCTTGTCTATGATTGCCCCTTCTTTAACCAGTTGTTTTCTGTACTTTAGCTTGCACTTCCTATTATTTCTGGTAACCAGCAGTGGTTGTTGTGGTTATATAACTTGTTTGATATATTACCCAAGAACCAAGTCAAAGTTTTTGTTGTTGCGTTATGGGCTTTATGGTATTTCTGAAACAGGAAAAAACATCTGGTTCAAACTCTAGTAAGCCTTGCTAGATTAATCACTAATTATATTGTCCAAATTGATGCATGTACATTTAATTAGGGATTCTTACCTCCTCAAGCAACTGGTCACTGGTATTCCCCTCCTGCAAATACTGTCAAGACCAATTTTGATGCTGGCTTTCACTACGCTTCCAAAATCTCTGTTTCGGGTATTAGAATCAGAAATTCTGAGGGTCTAGTTATGGCGTTTAGTGTCTATACAAATGCTCACATTCTCTCTCTAGAGCTTGTGAACAAGTACTTGCACTAACTAGTGAGTTGGGTTTTCGTCGCGCTATTATTGAGAGGACTCACAGGTCACCATTAACGAAGTAACTTCACTTATGCTAGATTTCTCTTTTGTTAGTATGATTATCTACAACGTTCTATGCATGCAAAGGAATTTCGAGTACTTATCTTTTAAGTCTGTCCATCGTACTCTAAATTCGGTGGCTCACTCGCTGGCGAAGCTGGGTTGATCTTTTACAACCCCGATGGTTTGGATTGAGGAAGCCCCTTTTGCTGTTGAAGATGCTCTTTGCTCAAATCGGCAGTGATATGACCCTCTTTAATTGCTTCGGCTCATGATTTTGTTTTGGAGGTCCATTCAGCTCCTCCTCCTATTCGTTCTTCATATGCTTGTTCAAGTTTTGATTTTGGCTCTGCGTCTGTAGAGTTCGCCCTCAGTTGAAGATGACTATTCGTTTTGCTGGGTGTGGGTTTGGAAACTTTTGTGGTTTTTGTTCTTAGTTTTGGTGGGTCTTTATGTCATTATTTTATACTTATGTTTTGTCCTTTGCTAACGAGCAGGTCTTGTAGCCGGTTGGATATACGTGGTTTGTGTTCCCATTGCTACTAATGAATGATCATCTAATACGGGAAGTTTTAGTATGCGACAGTTTTAATATATATGGTTTTATTATTTTTTTAATAAAATCAGTAAAAAATTATTTAAAATATTATTATTTCTATTTAAAATATTAATATTTTTTTAATATTTCCGGTAAAGTGTCAAATAATAACAAAATCAGTAAAAAAAATAACAAAATCGATAGCGTTTTACCTGATATGTTAACAAAATCGGTAAAGCTCTCAATAATAACAAAATCTATAAAAATAATAATGTTCCGGTAATTTTTCACTAATTTTGTTAAAAAAATAATAACAAAACCGATAGCTCATTTCTTTAATCATATATTAAGACTACCGCACGTAAGAGTTTCTCATCTAATACTTGTTAAAAAAATAATCACAATCAAAGTTTAAATTTTTAACTTTTAAAAAATTAATAAGGGATTTTTTTTTAATGAGACTGAGGTAATAATTATTTTCGTCTGCATCCTCATACGATCAATAATTCCTATAATGCCTAGTGTACGATGAACATTTCATCTCCACTCATAATCGTTTGTTCTCAACCCGTTCAGATTATCCATTTCAAACCAAATTTAAAAATATTTTGAACAAATATAACTTCTGGAATAACTAACCATCTGCCTTCCTTGAATACAGTAAATTGCTCATTTCCCTCTCTTTCAAATATTTTGCTCAAAGTGACATCATATTCATTTAAAACGTCCATCACAAAACGATGCATCTAAAGATGAAACACAGCCTCTAGAGAAAATAAGTAAGGTAAAGTCACTCTCGATTATTGTCACAAACTTAGCTCCAATCACTCACACAACACGACCTCAATGAAATCTCAAATTCATACCTAAAGTTCTCCTACAACAAACCCGATTCAATAAAAAATTTCTAATCGCAGTTCAACCAGTCTTACAAATGAATGTTGCACCCGTCATGGAAGGCGATGTTTCTTCGATAATGGTCTTCTTCACTATTATAAACAAAGAACAAGAAAAGAAAACAAATCTTTAGGAAAAGGATAGGTTATGTATTCAAGAGGCTGGTTACCAAAAGTCCCCTTTTATCAAAGTAAACGAGTGTGACACCAAAAATGGTTTGAATACCATACTGCCTAAGCATTTCGATAATGAGTCGACACATGTACAACTTCTTTAACCCTCTAAAAATATTTATTACAAGTATTCTCAGAGGACGAACCAATTTAAACGCCACGTAAAACCCAAAAACGATCTCAAATCATACCACTTTATGGTTTCTTTAGATTAAAAGAGACAAAATGTTATACTTTCGAATGAAACCCACTGGAAAATGTCAATAGTCTGCCAATTAAGTCACCTAAAATACTCATTGAGTGGAGTCTTTAAAAGTCCTGCGGATATATTGTGTTACATAAAGCCATCCTCGCTAAATAGTCAAATGAGACCCATACACATTAGACTTTGATATAAATTTGACAATCAAATATGATGGTTGACAATCGTATTTGCATAAATTGTCAACCAATTGACATACACGGTGACCTTAGGCTTGGTACAAACCACCCTACGATTGGGGTATTTATACCGCAAGAGAGACTATAGGAGATGATTCTTTCCTACTAACTTTCACTAAGATCCGTTATCTTTTACTTTATGTTTCCTTCACCATTTTTTTTATAAGATATCAACGGTTTTAATTGATTTCTTATCGATTATGACTCTCTACTTAAATCTAAAAGAGTGAACAATTAACGATCGAAAAAACAAACGTATTTCCATTAACAAAAAAAAATCCCTTTACTTAATTATCACCAAATAAAACCATCAATTCCAATTTTAACACCTTATTATATTATAGGATCACATCTATTTATTGTATAGGTATGCCAGGTTGAAAAATACTACTAGTAATGTTTATGTTTTTTATATGGGATTTTATAGTGTTCAGTAGTCATGAGTTTTCAATAAATTTGAAAGTAAACGACGTTAAATCTTATTTTTAAAATGTTTTTAATATTATTTTTTATTTACATCAAAAAGACCTTGATCACATATGCCCTTTTGACTATCTGAACTAAGGAAAGCCTTTTCTTCTATATATTTGTGAGAAGCGAGAAGTCGCTTTTGATTTCTTTATACAACAAATACAATATTAATTGTGAATTATAAATGACAAATGAACTTTTCTATTGGAGTGAAATTCATCATCTAATAATCTAAAGCTACAATGGGGAAATGTCCCTATAAAAAGGTAGTCAAATGCTAGAAGAGCCTAGAGCCCCCTAGGTGTCGGCAATGCTGGGTTACTGAAACTATATTTATCTATTTTTAATTACAAGAATCTACCAAGACGATTTTCTCGATAAATCACTCTTTAAATGTTTTTTTTTTGTTATATTGTTCAGATTATATTTTTTTAATCCAACACCCTTTGTAATAATACGGTGCGCTTTACATTGATTTGGCGCCACGTAAGGTAAGACGCCCCCTGAAGCACGCCGTATGCTGACATGGATACACGCTGGCTAAAGTGTGCCCCAGATGCCACGTAGGGTATAACGCGGTTAACGGGCCATGTCTTTGCTTTAATTCTGACACAATTATGTAAGGCGCGCCCCCGGGCCGCGCCTTCCAATTATCACATGCATAATGCAAGGCGCGGTGCAGGGGTCGCGCCTTTTATAATTACACTATCTCCTCTCGGTTATAAATACCCCTCTCCCCCGTAAACTCTCTCACAACTTCCTCTCAACCGAAAAACTAATACAACAATCATCTCAACCAGTATAACACCCGGTAATCCTCTTATATTTGATTCAGAAATTCGTACGATCTTTTGTTATAAGGTAATTTTTTTATAATATTTTTTTATAATTATATATGATTATTTGAAAAAAAATAGTATACTAATTATTTTCAATGAATTTTTGTGTTTGTAAAATTAGAAAGCGGGAGCATACATTGAAATATTTTTGCCGATAAAGTAATAATATAAAATTATATTATTTAAATTATTTACGTTATTGTGTAAAAATTTTATTTCCTTATATTTTAATTCATATATTATTTATTTAATTAGGCTTGTTTCAGGTTTATTTTTTGCAGATATAAGATTGTCTCACTTTCAAACTCTAAAAATGACGTGAATTTCAGCTATTGTTTATTATGATGGAGAAATTTAGGAAGATGAAACTGGCGTTGTTTTCGTATCAAATCATTATGTTAAAATATCCTTCAAGAGAAACATAACTCTTGAGGAGCTGATAACGAAGATTTCAAGGAAGGTTCATGTTGGAAGTACTAGAAGATTGTCGTCGCTTCAGTACAGATTTCCAACATCATTGTTGCCATTATGGTATACCGCGTTCGAACTATAGAATAATGATGATGTTGAAATGATGGTTGATTCTCAAAATAATTATTCAGACGTCGTTACGGAGATGTATGCAAAGTTTGTTGAGGTGCGTGCTATTCGGGGTCTGTCATTAAGCTCTCACTATGGGCTAGCTGAACAAGCTGATCAAGTTGACAGCCCAACTACAGTAATGTATAATGCTTTTAATGTCATAATGGGAAATCCACATCATGGTGTTGTCCCATCAACTTCAATGGGGAGACATTCATCAGCAACCTCTTACGATAAGTACTGAGATGGGTCCACGAACAATCCGTATAGAAACATCACGTCCAGTTCAAGGGGAAGGCATTCATCTGCCAATTTCTTTGACCTTAATATGGAGATGCCTTCGACGCAACAATCTGTGTAGTTTGCATTTAACACGATGGCTTCAAGCTCCAGGGGGAGGAATTTAACTGCAAGCTTTTTCGATATCAATGTCGATATGCCTTATAGTTCAAGGGGAAGGCATGCAAGTAGTAGGTTCTTCGACCTAAATGTGGAGAGCATGGAGGAACCATCATCTCCGCCAGAAGAACCGAATCTTGAGCCAGGTGCGGATGGTGCTTTTTGCGAAGCTCGAGGGACAAGCTCAAACCTGGATGCAAGGCGATCATGTCTATCACCCTAGATTAGTTGTAGATCTACAAAAAAAAATTGTTGCATCAAATGGAATGTCTGTAACAAGCTTCTTTAGAACACATGCATTGTTTCGTGTCACAGAGTTATCGCGACCTCTTCAAGGGATTGAAGTTGTGTCGTTAAGAGTAAATCTACGGGACAGATGATGCGATTGTGGGTTTTTTCAAGCTCTGAAGTATCCATGCTCTAATGTGATAGCAGCTTGCTCTCATACACTTCAATACTATAATCGTTTTGTGGATCCCATATACATACTATCAGAAGTTTTTAAGGTATACAAATTTGAGTTCCCCCATAGGTAATGACAAAGACCCTGATAAGGTTCAGAATTGGGTTCCGATTGTACCAGATCAGAGTGTATTGAGGGAGCGTGGTCATCCAAAATCCACTCGAATTCATTGTGATATGGATATTCGAGAAACATATAGACACGACAAAAAATATAGGCATTGTAGAAACTAAGGACACACTAGGAGAACATGTCCACTTCTGTTGTCATCAAGTAACAATTGATAAGGAACTGATGTAGTTATTTATCAAATAATAATTCTTGTACTTTAATTTGCATTTACTTAAAGTTAATGTCATTCGATAACCGCGGATGAAGATTAAAAAAAACGATATATGAAAACGAGATTGGACGTTGGCGTTATATGTGATTATGATAAAAGAGATAATAAGTGATAAACTTAAGAAAGTTATCGAACACAATTATTAAATATTATCAAACTAATAGCAATTTGGTATTTGAATATAATTTTAAATACAACAAACTTACAATAAGTATTAAATTGTAAATAATAACAAAATTACAATAACTGATATTAAATGGTAATAAACA